CTCTGTTTCTTAACTTGGAGTCAAACTGAATTGCTGCTGGACCAAATACAGTCTGAACATGCTCTGAATAGACTTTCTCAAAGAACTGTCAATAAAGGAGGGAACGTTGCCCCAAATGAGAAGCTCGAACAGCACCTTAAAAATCACCGTAGGGGCTCTTTTCTCTTTCCATTAGAGTCAGGGAGGGATCCAGAGAGCTCCTACTGTCTGAGGCCAGTACAGGATGGATGCAACAGGTGCAAATGCCCAAAGAAAAAGACAACATACACATGTGTTTCCACTCCATTCATTTGCATTCAGCAGTCAGGAAGTCCTGTTCATCTGCTCCGTGGCTGAGGCTTAGGATGCCATGGCGGTGGATGAGTCAGAAGAGTCCTATGCTCCCAGGCGTCCCAGGCATTGCTCGAGGACTGACCAACATGGTAAGGGGTGGAATGAGAAACAGGGATGCCTCAAGAGGGACAAGGGCTTGACCTTGGCCCAGGGGTCTGGGGAGGCCTCTAGGAAGAGGACGTTTCACCTTAGGCCTGAAGGGAGTAGAAGCTCTCCTCCAGAAATGCAAGAGGAGGGAGCCACAAGCAGGAGTGGTTAGTGCAAAGGTCCTGAGGTGGAAAAACATCTGGTAGCTTTGAGGGCCTGAAAGGAGCCAGGCTTCTGTGACATGCCAAGAAAGGCCCAGGGCCTCATCTGCTCTGCCTTGTATCTGGACCCTGTCTTAAACTGTCGGCAGTCAGCAGGCCTTTCTGACTTCTGCTCCACAGCCTTCCCCATTTAAGGCCCACTGAGTGGTGGCTGTCCACCGGGCCTGTGCCAGGTGCTGCAGGCTTACAGGAGAATAAGGCAGCACCCTGTTCTCAGGAAGACAGACTAATCTTTAGAGGGTGGTAGCCGTGATATGGATATGCCCGAGATGTTCTGGAAACACACCGGGGAGAGAGCAGATCCAGTGTGGAGTGGGGTGGTGAGTGCTTCATGGAAGGCATGTCAGGAGAAGGTGGGGGCCGAGCTGAGTCTCAAAGGAGTCAGGTACAGGGGTTAGCCAGGGAAGCAGAGGAGAGGGTGTTTGTAATAGGAGAACATGTGTGCACGGTTGCATGCAGAAAGCAGGTGGGGTTTGGGGGGCACACTGCCCAGCTGGGGCTCCAGCCTGAGGGGAGGTGGTAGGAAGTAAGAAGTGGAAAGGCCGCCAGACCCAAGCCCGCAGACCCTTGCATGCCAAGCTGGGGTGTTGGAATTATGCTCAAGGCCATGGGGAGTCATGGGAGGTCCCTCAGCAGAGGAGGGCTGGAGCAGATGGAAGGTTTCAGAATTTCACTGCGGTAGTGGCTGGAGGCTAGACAGGGGACGGGGCAGAGCATCTCTGTCACCCTGATGCAGGCACACAGTGGTACAGACCTGAGCTCGGCCACATAGGGAGAGGTCAGAAAGGGCTGGGCGTCAGGGTCACGGAGGAGATGGCTGATGGCATGAGGCCTGGGGCAGAGAGAGGAATCAGACCACATCCAGGGTCTGGCTTGGGTGACGGCTGGGTGGGGAAAGAGGAATACTTTGGGAGTTACAGAGTTCAAGGGACGTGTCACATTAGAGATGATGTGGGGCCTCCCAGGTGGCGGAGTTGAGTAAAGAAAGGTGTGTGAAGTCTGAGTGGGAGCTGGGATGTGGCTCTTGTGAGCAGAGAGGCGTGGGCGTGGTTGGGACAGGGGGGCCATGAGGGCCCCGAGAAACCCCGCACGGAGGGCCACACAGGGGAGGAAGCACCAAGGAGGGAGAGCGGGACAGCAGAGAAGGGGAGAAGAGCTGAGCGGGGGGCGGGCTTCCAGAAGGCGGGGCCACAGCCGCAGGCCATGGGGCAGGAGTCCGCTGACCCAGGACTGCGCTGCTCAGGCAAGGCCCGTGGGGAGGGAGGACTTGGCTGGGAGAGCCTTGAGGAGACGGAGCCGTGAGGCTGGAGAGACGCAGTGCAGGCGCCCAGAGCCTGAGGCCTGGAGGCCATCCCTGACAGCCGCCTGGCACACAGCTCCCTCCCAGGGCTCTCACCGTCACCTCCCTGTGGGCAACCCAAACTGCCTCCTCTCTGTCAGCTCCCAAGAGCGGAGACTGGCCCATAGCTGGGGCTCAGGGAAGTCGTCCCCTGAAAAGGCGAAGGAGAGGTGGGAAGTGGGCCGCAGGTGGTCAGAGGTTAGCAGCCCATCCCACGTGTGTACCCCACGGCAGCAGGAAATGCTCCAGGAGGGTACCTCTCAGGAAGAGTTGAGGGAGAAAGGAAATGGGGATTTTTTCTGGCCCTAGCAACCCAGGGAACTGACCGCTCTGTGCCTCAGTTTCCCTACCCGCTCCCTCCCAAGGGTAGAATATAAATGCGTATGGCAGCATTCCAAATGCTCCCAAGCAGGGAAGCCAGGAGTCAGCCACAGACCAGACCCCCTCCCCAGAGTGAGCATTCGGCCAGGTCCCCCGGCCTAGTGGTCTGGGATGCTCCAGGCCTGCCCCTTGACTGCCACTAGACCTGGGTCCTCCCCCTGCCTGTCGGGTGAGGTGCCTCATGCACAGGTTGGTGGCACACATTTGGGAATGGAGCACAGTGGTGTATTCTGGAAAGGAGCCCACACCTTCCATTCTGTTGCACTCATTAGCAGTTTAAGCAGTAGCTTTCGGGGCCACTGCCTGCCACCTCAGGACCTGCCAGTTACTGCTGACATGGGACTGAGGAATGACAACCGGCCTGGGGGTCCTCCAAGAGAGAGGGCCTTCCCACCTGTTGACTTGCTCAGTGGTGAACTCACAGAAAGGCCACTCTTGGGAGACCTTTCATTTCTTAGAACTGTCCCAGCACATACCCCAGACCTGGTAGGCGGGGCATAGCTTGGGGGTCAGTGCTGATGGTGAGCCCTGACTCCTCAGCAGGCTTCTAGGCCCTTCTCAGCAAGCCTCAGTGGTCAGACTTCGTCTTGCTTTGGAAGGAGGCGGCCTGGGTGGTGGCAGCATGATGGCCTGGGTGAGGTGATATGGACGTGTCAGCGGGAGAAGAGCGGGCCCAGCAGAGGCCCCTTCTTCTAGACCATACCCTCACGATGTGGGGGTGCCAAGGCTGGGGTCCTGCTGGAAGTTAGCATCAACTCACCTTCCTTCTTGGAAGGAGGTCAGGGAACTCCCATTGCGCCAAAAGCACCTGCACACAGCCAGGCCATGTGCCCCAGTGAGCGTGGACCTCCGGCTGGGTCCTGGCTGGGTGCAGAGCTTCCCTACAGAGAGGATATCTGAGGGACAGAGGACTACCCCTCGGCCTCCCTGGGTGGCCCAGGGCGGACAGTGTAGGCTGAGCCTGGATCTGAGGGGAGCTAGGCCCCTGGAGAGCTGTACCTGAAGATTAGACACGACCCTGAATGTCCAGGTGCTTGCTTGCGTGGGTGCTGAGTGGGACATGACAGGGATGCCAGTTAGCATCAGTTCCCGGGGCTGGGAGATGGAAGAGAAAGCCCACAGCTGATTGGAATCAGTGCTGTCAGAGTGGTGTCCGGTGAACGCAGGGTCCCACCCGGGAAACAATCGGTAGGGGATATACGTATGTTATGTAAGTGTGGGGTTTAGCTGGGCAAGTCTGAAACCTGGAGTGCAGGCTGCAAGGCTGGAGATATCCAGGCAGGAGTTGGCACTGCATTCCACAGGCAAAATTTCTTTTCCCTGGGGGAAGCCTCCATTTTGCTCTTTTAAAAAGTTTTTTTAATTCTTAAAAAAATTTTTAATTTTATTTTTTGAGAGAGAGCGCGCATGAGCGAGAGAGAACAAGCAAGGGGGAGCAGCAGAGGGAGAGGGAGAAGCAGACTCCCCACTGAGCAGGGAGCCTGATGTGGGGCTCGATCTCAGGCCCCTGAAATCATGGCCTGAGCCAAAGGCAGCGGCTTAACCGACTGAGCCACCCAGGCGCTCCTAATTTTTTTTTTTTAATTATTTTTAAGTAACCTCTCCACCCAACAGGGGGCTCAAACTCAAGACCCGAGATCAAGAGTCGCATGCTCTTCCCACTGAGCCAGGCAGGTGCCCCTCCGTTTTGCTCCTAAGGCCTTTAGAGCAAAGATTGGGTGGGACCCACTCAGGCGATCAAGGATAATCTCCCATACTTAAAGTCACCTGGTTTGGGCTGCGAACCGTATCTATAGAGATAGCTTCCTATCTCTATATCAAACACCTAGGTTAGTGTTTGATGGAATCACTGGGTACTGTCGCCGCCGAGCGGACACATAGACCTGACCCGCGGCAGGGCTGATAACGAAGGCCTGCTCACAGCCGCTGCAAGGAGGAAGTGGAACCCTGCACAGCGCCCCGGGCACAGCCTCTGGCCTGAAGACCTCCAGAGAGCGAGTATTTATTTAGAGCTGACTTGGAGCCTACCTTTGGGCTAGGGACTTTGCGCACACTCTTTGAGTTACTCTTGAATAGATAGGGTTCTGCAGCCAGAGAGGCGTGCAGGCTGTGGCCGAGAAAGAGTCCCTAACCTCCAAAAAGGACCTGCAAAACTGTGTGTCCTGTGTCTTTCATGGTGAAACCGTCTCCCAGCTTTCAATCAGCCCCTCGGAAAACGAGGGGCTTGCGGCCACGCTGGCTGCTCGCTGCGCCTTCAGTTAGCGTTCCTTCAGCGCTGTTTTACGATCCTATCACAGCGCGCTCTTGGGGCTTGTGATCGCGTTCTTGCCGACTCGGGATGAAGCCGCCCTTTCTACCTCTTGTGATGAACTTGGCAAAACTCTCCCTGACATCCCTTGCCGTGTCCCGGAGGAAGTGTGAACAAGGCAGGGCCGGCATCTTCGCCTCAAGGCCTGGAGAGAGGGTGTGAGGGGGCCAGGCGTGGGCGCCGGGGGGAGGGGGGGGCGGGGAATGCGGCGCCCCGGGCCCCAGTGTCCCCGGGCCCCAGTGTCCCCGAGCGGCGCGGTGCGGCGCCTTTAAGGTCCGCTGGGGGCGTGCTAGCCGCGGCCGCGGGCGCTCGGAGAGGTGAGAGCGCGGCGGCGCGGAGACCGGGCGCTCGGAGAGGTGAGAGCGCGGCGGCTCGCGGGCCGGGCGGCGCGGAGACCGGGCTCGCGGTAGGAGCTGCGGGGCGCTCGAGGCTCCCAACTCCTCCCCCGACACGCGGGCCGGCGGGCCACGCGCCGCGGACTCGGACTGGGCACCGGCCCGGCTCCAGGAGCGCGGGGCGCCGCGGCTCCGACCATGGGCAGCTTCCAGCTGGAAGACTTCGCGGCGGGCTGGATCGGAGGTGAGCCCAGCCCTGGACGGGAGGGAGCGTCCCGGGAGGTGCGTGTGCCCGGGAGAGAAAGAGAGACCGGCCGCGTTTTCAGGCCGTGCCGTGGTGGGTCTGGGAGCCCCGCACCCGTGCGCCTCCACCACGCGCGCAGCGTGCGCGCCGCCTGCTACCGGAGTGCCCCGCCGCCCCGCGGCTGCTGGCCTCGCTGCCCCTCGCCCGCTGCCCCACCCGCGTCGCGGGTTCCCCCGGAGCTGCGGCTTTGCCTCCGCGTGAGGACCGGGCGACCTGGCCCCGGTAACTATTAAACCGGCCGTCGAAGCCGACAGCCAATGGAGCGCCCGGGCGCGCACACACCCTCCGGAGGCCGGCTGTGCGCCTGAGTGGGGGGACGCGGCTGCAAGAACTTGCGGGTGAGGGTGGCGATTGTCCCGGGCGCGGGATGGGGAGCCCGGCTTCGCGGTCAGGCCGGCCCTAGGGGGCGCCCCGGCTGGAGGGTGCGGGGCGCGCCGAGCTGGGAGCCCAGCGCCTGGCTGCAGGTGCCCATTGCCAGATAGGAGGAACCCCTCCTGTTTTCAGCCTTTATGGACTGTCACTGCTCGCGGCACTCTTGGACCCGCTCCTCCCTTGGAGTCGCTCCTGGAGCGGCTGTCTGCTGGGCCCGGGATGGGTCGGCTTGGGCAACAGTTGCATCCATTTCCTTGCTTCTCTGATCGTCTCTTTACAGTAGGTTTATTTCTCTACTTTTGTCAGCTACTGACGGGGTGTGGGGAGGGTTTGAGAAGCACTAGCACGTATTGTAAAATATCTTTCTTTTTGGCCATCTAAGAGAATCATCAGAAAAGGGATGTTGGCAAATGCAACCCCTGCCCGAAGTCAAAAGCAAAAACAAAACCAAAACCTGAGGTGCTGAGACAGAGGCTATCATTAATATGTTTGTGCCCCACCGAGTGTTCTAGGAATGAAGACCAGGAGATTTATAGGAAAATGAAACAAATAAAAAGAGCAACAGATCAGATAGCGTTCCAGGATCCCTTTCTGAGGGCTGCTCCCGCCTCTGTCCCCCAGCAGGTGGCTGCAGGGCCCCTGCTTCTTGCTGTCATGAGCAGAGGAGGTCCCTTTCACCATAAGCAGTTATTTTGCACAGGCTTTCTAGACCTTCCTCTCCTAACTTTACCATGGGGCGGGGGGCTGTACCCAGAGACCCACTAGCTGTGTTCAGGCCCTCTTTGGACAACTAACTATCAGCCATTCTGGGGGAGAGCCTTCCGTACTTAAGGCTATCCCCTTACGTAGCCAGACCAACTTCAGTCGGGCTGTCCTTGGCTGGGTTTGAGGGTAAGGCTGTCCGAGTAGCTGCAGGTCTCTGATGACTCCGGGGCCCTCCCCAAGTCACACAGTAAGTAGTGGATTGTCCTTTATTCTGCGATCGTCCTCACTTTGTTCATGTTAACATTTTGTTGTTGTCTTTTGGTTTGGGGGTTTTCTTGCTTCCATGAAGTGAGGATGAGCGTCGTAACAATACTCAGTCGGTAGCAGGTGCTGTTGAAGTGCCACAGGTATTTTTAAAACAACTTCACTGAGGCTATTTTATGCATCATAAGATATACCCATTTCAAGTATACAATTCGGTGATTTTTAGCAACCTTACCAGTGTTTCAGCCATGTCCGTAAATTCGTTCTAGCACATTTTCTTCCCCGGTAAGATCCTTCATGCCCATTCACAGTTAAATTCCATCCCCTCCTCCCTCTGGGCAACCATGAATCTACTTTCTGGCTCTATAAATTAGCCTTGGTCTCATGTCTATTGATGTATATTTCTTTGTAGCCCCAGTGAGGTAGCTACAATGATTATATCCTCGTGTTACAGACGAGGAAATGGGTACACAGAGACATTCAGTGACTTGCTCAAGGCCATGCATCTAGCTTGAGCCCTGGGATTCCAACCCAGACAGCCTGGTTCCAGGGCCATCTTAACCCCTGTACTCATCTCTAGGTGTTTTCTTTCTTAATGAACTTGCAGAATAAAATTCCACCATGACATCCTTTACATTTTGTTTGAAGTTTTACTGGTCCGTGAGGTCCTCAGGTCTGGAAACCAGTGACCTGACTGTCCCATTTCTGATCTTTGCATTCCCTGCTTTCAGATGTGTGGGCTAATGAGTGACCAGGGAGATAAACATCCAAGGTGAGCTCTGAGGCTGCTTCCCTGGACTAAGGGATGCCCACAATGAAGGGGGCACTCACTAGTGAGCAAGCAACTAGAGTCTGGGGACCAGAAGTCCTTTCTTCCCTTGCTGGGAGGGGCTCCTACAGAGTGAATACTCCAGCTTCCCTCTGCTTGTCACCTTTCGGCCTCTGCCCACTTCCATGGGAAGGAGGGGCTGAGAGAGGTCTGGTGGTTCTAGATGGAACACATGTCTGTTCTGGGGTTAGCTGGTTCCTCTGCCCCTCTCTCTACCTGTCTCATATTCCAGGACTGCCTTACCAGGTTAAATCACCCCTGCTAGCAGAGACGCTTCATTCCTCATCAGCGTGGCAGGGAATTTATTCTAGAGGATTGGTTGCTGTTTCAACCTCACAGTCACCAACTTCGACAACAAGGGCTTCTTCATCTACATGACCTCAGGGCAGTCTTGCTTCCCACTGAAGCTGTTTGGGCCTTGTGACTCTGTGTGGATGGGCATTTTTCTGTGAGAAGAAAAATTCTTCTTTAATTTAATTTAAATTTAATTTAAATTTAATTAATTTAATTTAATTTAAAGAGGGCTTCTTTAAAAAAACAAAACAAAAACAAAAAACAAATAATAATAATAAAAAAACTGGATAGTGACAGCATCTCTTTTTGAACAGCCTATAAGAGCCAGGACTTTGCTGGTACTTGACTTTCATTAGCTCATTTCATTCTTACAATGGAACTGTGAGGTAGGTGCTAATATGACTCCCACCTACACCTGCTAAAAGTGAGGTCTAGAAAAAGTGAAGTAACCTGTAGGTAACCGAAAAGTTTCTGGGTTTTCTCTTCACACCTTCCCCGCTTTTCTTTGAGGTAAAAATCACATAACCTAGAAATAACCATTTTCAAGCATCCAGTTCAGTGGCATTTAGTGCATTCACGGTGTTGTTCATCTGTCAGCTCTGTCTAGTTCCAAATTTTCCTCATGCCCAAAGAAATCCCTGGATCCATCAAGCAGTCACTCCCGTTTCCCCTCCCCCCAAGCCCTGACAACCCTTAACCAGGTTTCTGTCTCCGTGGATTTGCCTGTTCTGGATAATTTGAGTAGATGGAATCAGACACAATGGGACCCTTCTGTGTCTAGCTTCTTGCACCTAGTGTACCGTTCTCAACCTTCATCCACACTGCAGTATGCTTCGTTCATCCCCACTGATGTCCAACAAGATTCATCAGAGGGATTTACCACATGGCATTTACCCACTCACGCACTGATGGACGTTTGGGCTGTTTCCACCTTTTGGCCGTTGCAAATATTCCTGCCGTGAACATACGTGTTCATGCACTTGTTCCAGTGCCTGTGGTCTCTTCTTTTAGGTCTCTCGCTAGGAGTGGAATTGCTGGGTTGTATGGTGATTCTTTGTTTCACTTCTTGAAGAAATGACAAGCCATTGCCACAGTTGTTGCAACATTATACATTCCCATCCCAACATGCAAGAGTTCCAGTCCCTCCATATCGTTGCCAACACTTACTGTTTTCCTTTAAAACAGAACAACAACAACAAACAAACAATTATAGTCATCCTAGTGGGTATGAAGGGAATCTCCCTGTGATGTTGATTTGCCTTTCCCTAATGACTAATGGCGTTAGGCATGTCTTCATGTACACATTGGCCATGGGTATATTATCTTTGGAGAAATGTCTCTTCATGTCCTTTTCTCATTAAAAAAAAATTTGTGTGGGGGGGGTCACCTGCGTGGCTCAGTCGGTGGAATGTGTGACTCTTGATCTCAGGATTGTGAGTTCAAGCCTCCTGTTGGGTGTGGAGCCTACTTTAAAAAAAAAAAAAAACTTTTTTAGTTTTAAGTATTTCTTATAAATTCTGGATACTAGACCCTTATCACCTATATGATTTGCAGATATTTATCCCCATTCCATAGGTTGTTTTCACCTTCTTTATAGTGTCCTTTGCTGCACACAGGTTTTTTTTTATTCTTATGTTAATCCCCATACATTACATCATTAGTTTTAGATGAAGTGTTCCATGATTCATTGTTTGTGCACAACACCCAGTGCTCCATGCAGAATGTGCCCTCCTCAATACCCACCACCAGGCTAACCCATCCTCCCACCCCCCTCCCCTCTAGAACCCTGTTTGTTTTTCAGAGTCCATCGTCTCTCATGGTTCGTCTACCCCTCCAATTTCTCCCGCTTCATTCTTCCCCTCCCGCTACCTTCTTCTTCTTCTTCTTTTTTAACATATATTGCATTATTTGTTTCAGAGGTACAGATCTGAGATTCGACAGTCTTGCACAATTCACAGCGCTTATCAGAGCACATACCCTCCCCAGTGTCTATCACCCAGTCACCCCATCCCTCCCACCCACCCCCCACTCCAGCAACCCTCAGTTTGTTTCCTGCAATTAAGAATTCCTCATATCAGTGAGATCATATGATACATGTCTTTCTCTGTTTGACTTATTTCACTCAACATAATACCCTCCAGTTCCATCCACGTCGTTGCAAATGGCAAGATCTCATTCCTTTTGATGGCTGCATAATATTCCATTGTATATATATACCACTTCTTCTTTATCCATTCATCTGTCGATGGACATCTTGGCTCTTTCCACAGTTTGGCTATTGTGGACATTGCTGCTATAAACATCAGGGTGCACGTACCCCTTCGGATCCCTACTTTTGTATCTTTGGGGTAAATACCCAGTAGTGCAATTGCTGGATCATATGGTAGCTCTATTTTCAACTTTTTGAGGAACCTCCGTACAGTTTTCCAGAGTGCACACAGGTTTTTAATTGGTATGACACACAGTTTATTTTTTCTTTTGTGACTTGTGCTTTTGGTTTCATATCTAAGGATCTCTTGCCATTCTAGGATCAAGAAGTTTTCCCCTGTGTTTTAGTAAATGATTTTTATAGTTTCAGTGTTTCCATTAAGGTCTTTGGTCAATTTTGAGTTCATTTTTGTATATGATATGAGGTAAGGGGTCTAACTTCATTCTTAGGCATGCGGATACCCAGTTGTCCCAGCACCTTCACTGTCCTTTTTTGGGGGTGCTTGTTTCTAGAGGCAGAGCCCACATTTTACTTCATTTTCTATGCCTTCCCCAGTGCCTGGGCTGGTGCCTAGCACATTGCTGGGGGGTGGGAGGGCTCTGGGAACTGGGCATTGACTGAACGAGGGGATGTGAGTGCCCGAGCCGTCTGTCTTATCCCAGGAGCCAGCCGGTGCACGTGAGGAGTCCAGGGGCTCAGTGACCAGGTCGTCTTCTTTGATCAACAGGTGCAGCGAGCGTCATCGTCGGCCACCCTCTAGACACGGTCAAGGTACTGCGGCCATGTTTGCCATTACTTCTTGGAAAGCGGCCTGGAGTGAGTCTGCCTCCAGCAATATATCTGCTGTTTCTGATCCCAAGACAGTCTCCAGCCCAGGGCCGAGGTTCTGTGCCAACCCCGGAGGGTGCGGGCCTGGAGGACTGGTTTGGAATCATCCCTCTCCTCTCGTTACTTGGCAGCGAGCTTGTTTTTGTGAATGCCGCATTTCTGCCTCCAGGTTCTCAGGGGCTGTGGGGGAGGGCCAGGCAATGGAACGGATCCCCTGCCAGTCTCAGCAACTGAGGAACCGGGAACGGCTTCCGGCGTGAGGTGGCATCTGAGTCCAGAATTTAAGGTTGGGTTTCAGGTGGTGAAAAAAGATGTTCCAGGCTCAGAGAGCAGCAAGAGCTAAGGCACCAAGGTGGGGACGCTGTGTGGGGGTCATGCTTGGGAAAAGCCAGCATGGCTGGTTTGGCTGATGCATCAGGTTTCTGAAAGCAGCTATAGAGCAGAATCCAGGAAAGGTGGGTCAGCACTCAACCCTGGGAGGCCTTCACTATCAGATTAGGACTGCGGACTTGGGTTGGGAATGGGAAGCCATTATAACTCTGGGAAGCGCAGGAGGTATGAGGACTCAACAGGGCCATCTGGTGGGGGGGGGGGGGGGTCATCCACGCCCCTTGTTCTACAGATGGAGAAACTGGCCCAGGAAGGGGAAAGGGCTTGCCTGAGGTCATGCCAGGTGTTAAAGCATTGAGGAGTGAGGGAGTGAGGAGCTCTACGAAAGGACATTCTTTGACTCCACGCCCATCCCCGCCCCCTGTTCCCAGGAGTGAGCAGGACTACAGAGCCATACCCTGGGAGCACAGCTGGTCCCAAATAGTGCCTTCTCACCCCTGACTTGCACATTTCTATCTAAAGCTTTGCCTGGATCGTGCACTAAGAGGAACCGCTCAGGCTTTTCCCAAGTGGCTGCTATAGTCACTCCCCCCCCCCCCCCCCGTCTTCTTCCCTGTATGACAGTGGGCCCCTCCTAGGGCAGAGACGAGGCCTGCTTTCTTCTTGATGGGGGATCAGCCTATTTGTCTTAAATAGCTTAAGATCTTTCCTGGCTCTTTGTGTCCCCCGTATGGGCCCTGCTTTTTGCTCATACATCAAATGCATACTGGACACTTTCTGTGTGTAGATGGTATGGGGATAGCAAGGCATCAGTTGTAGACAAAGCAAATCCAATCCCTGCCCCTGTGGGCCTTCCAGCTATATTCCCAGCACAGGCAACCTCTGTGTCTCCCTGGTTAGAACATCCTTCCCTTACCCCCAGCTTGGCCAGGGGCTGATGGAGCTTGTTGGAGGTGCCCCCTCCCTGCACAGGCAAGTCTGGCCGCCTGAAAAGGCTGGAGTGCCCCTCCTTCTGTCCACTCTGCCCCTTGAGCCTCTGAGAGAGCCCTTCCTGATGCATCAAATCCAGTGTCTGCCCAGCCTGAGAAATTCCTCGCTCAGGGTACCAGCCTGGTGATGCCAGCCTTCATGGCTGGCCTGGGCCCAGCCCAGGGATGTGGCTCAGGGCCCTCGTTACTCCCCAAAACATGCTCCTTCCTTCCTTTCTTCTGGCTGACATTTTCTCTGGAGTCCCTACCTGAGAAAGGTCCGGGCAAGAGCTTTAGAGTTGGAATAATCTGGAGTGCGGTCTCAGCCTGCCTACCTACTCTCCTGTGACCAGGGTGCAGCATTTTACCTCCCCAAGCCTTGCTCTCCTCATCTGAAAAATGGGTAAAGAGCACCTCCCGACAGGGCTGCTGTGAAGATCGTCCCTGTGGCACTGAGCATAGAGCCATGAGTGAGCCATTCCTACCCTGATGAACACACATGCTTGTGTGTTGTGAGGGACTTGTGACTTGTCCAAGGTCCCAGGCCTTGCCTTGGGAAGAGCCGAGCTAAAAGCACCTGGGCTGCTAACCCAGGTCAGAGGCTCCTTCCCTGCCTATGGATGTCCCATCACTGGTGGGAGAGTCAGCCCTGGCTGCTTGGTGGCCGTGAAGCTGGGATCCGGATTCTCACCTGACTCTCTGCCCACATGGTGCATTTCAGGTGTATGCCTGATGCAGTGTGACCAGGGTTTCCTGATCAGGGCTCAGCCGCCTTTAGACCAGCTAGCGAACTGTAAGAGAACAGATATGCGTTGTGGTAAGCCGCTAAATTTGTCGTAATTTGTTACAGCAGCTATAGGACAACTAATACAAGAAGTCAGCTTTCTCCATCTGTAAAACGGGGACAGTACCCAGGCCGAGCGGCATTTGTGGGATTCTGTGAGATAAGTTCTGGAAGAGGCCCAGTACTTCCCCAAGAATGCAATTGTCACACACTAAATTCCAGCCCCTATTGTAAGGAGGCCCTGGAGGCGTGTGCTATGTGGCTGGCCTCCGTGGCAGCCTCCTCAAGTGTTCAGCATGGCTGGGGGGGCCGTTGCTCCATGGTTTTGAAACTCTTGTGTGATTTGGGTTTGACTCCTGGGTTGAGTTTCCTCATGTACGGTTTGCTTGAGTGACTCAGGCATTGGAGTTTTTCAGTGGAACTTGATCCTTCTTGGGGCCTCAACCTGTGGATTCAGTCCCCAGAGGCAGCCCTGTCAGCGCTGGGGCCAGTGGAGAGAGCATTCACCCCCATGCCAGCCTTAAATGGGGGAAGAGAGGGAGGCCTGTGCCCACGTCCCCTCGCCCATAATCTTGTCCAGGTTGGGGATACCCCACCCCAAGGTAGAGCTCTGTGGGTCTGCTCCACCGTGAAAGCCCACTTCTCATCTCGCTGCGCCTTCCCCCATGTCTTCACCTCCAGACAATTAAATACTGCATTTTCCCTCAAGCAGCCCACACTTCTGACCCCCAGGTCTGTTTTTCCCCATGGTACTTGTCATCATCAGACATAAATATTTGCTTGGGAATTGCCTATTTTTGACTCTTTTTTTCCTCATCCCCACTTGGTTCTAAGTTCCACGAGGCCAGGAAGTTGATTTCCTCTACTGCTGAATCTCCTGAGTGGAACAGTGGCTGTTGGAAAACAGGCCTTCAATCATACAGGTTGAATGAGTCAACCGCTACATTTCTTTGATTATGAAAGTAACACTTATAAAAACATATACCATTTACCTATCATGCCTGTGAGAGTGCTACAGATTTCCCATGGATATCTGGGTCTCTAACCCTGTTGAGATGAATGCCAATGAAGCTCTCAGCCATGCTATTAGCCAAGGTGGTTAGCTTGGGGTTGGGGGTCAGGGAGGGAGAATGTGGAATTTTTTTATTCAGAAAATTTATTCTCCTATTGTGTACTTAAAATTATTTTTAAATTACGTAAATTGAACATAATGAAAGTGACCCCTGTCTGTCATAGGAAAGTTGGAAATGAACCACCATTCAGTGTAGAAAAACATCGCCCGTGATTTTCACCTCAGAGACCAACACTTTTATGATGTGTGTTCTGCCAGAGTCTTCGCTCCTTGTCTACACACTAAGCTCAGGCTGTTGGCATGACGTGTTAGTCTGCACCCTGGGTCTTAGTCCTCACGGGACCCTGGTTCGAGGGGGTAGGGTCCAGTCACCCCTTCTGTGGTTCTCAGAGTTCCTTCTTACCAGATTCAGGGGGGGGTGCCCTGGCACTTTTGTGAGGCTCCTCAGACCCTCTGTGGCTGTCTGCCGTCTGTTACCAGAGCCAGCCTCCATTAGGGGACACATGTCTTCCCCTCCAGCCCCTCATTTAGCCAGTGCAAAGGGGACATATGCCAGGGCCATGCTCAGCGTGGGGACAAGAAGGAAATATGAGACAGCCCTGCCATAGAGAGGGGGCCCAAATAAACCCAAAGTAAACAGACAGAGAGATAACGCCATTGCAACATTGAAGCTCAGCCCCCAGAGATAAGCAGGACCTGGAGGAAGAGCCTTCTGGGGGAAGGAAGAGCCAGTGGAGAGCTCAGGCAGGGAGGGGGAGGGGGAAGGCGAGGCCAGGGACTGGGGGATGTGCCACATGGTAGGCACAGAGGGCAGGGCCATGGAGGAAGGGGCACGCAGGGGTGAGAGGCAGGCTCGGTGTCTACCCAGGCCTCTTTGACACTGGTAGAGAGTGAGGGGTTTACTCTGAGTCTGATGGGAAGCCACCAGTGAGCTGTAAATAGCGATTCGCTGTTGTCAGAAATGATCAGTGTGACTGTTGTGTAGACGCAGGCCAGGGACTGAGAGGGAAGCAGGAGGCCAGTGGCGAAAATAGCCCACCGTCCAGGTAAGAGATGAAGGGGCTCTGGAGCCACGAAGGGAATCCTTAGGATGGCAGAGTGATGGGCAGCAGATGGGGCAGAGCCCCGGAGTAGTGCTTGTACTCAAGAGACAGGGGTCACATGTCCCCCAACAAGCATCATTTTTGAACAACAAATGGACTTTTGTTCTTCTCTCAGACCAAGACAACTTCTGCCACACTCAGCAAGGCTGGAATGGGACACTGAAGGAGGCAGTGTGGGCAGAGGACAGAGCACCAGCCTGGAGGGGACAGAAAGCCAGCCCTCCTTACTGGCTCGGTCGCTTTGGGCAGGGCCTTCCCCTCTCTGGGCCTCAGTGCCACAAGCCTAGCATCTCTGGGGCAGTGAGGGCGTGAATCATCTCGGCCTGGGCCCTCACCTCCTTGCATCTCTCCGCAGACTCGCCTGCAGGCCGGCACCAACTATGGAAGCACCCTCAGCTGCATCCGCACAGTGTATAGGAGGGAGAGTGTAAGTGCCTCTGGGGTGGGCGCTGGAGCAGTACCCCTCCGGGACTCCTGCAGAAGGCTCGAAGCCTGCCCGGGGCCTGGGCGCCGTGGCCATAGCCCCAACCCCAGCCCGTCAGGCCGGAGGCCTGTTCATTCCTGCTCATCACATTTGGCTCGGTTTTGCCTCCTGTCTCCTCATCTCACACCACACCTCAAATATTGTGTGTCACCCAAACTTAACCCTGCCATCTTGTGCACTGTTACTGGGGGGGAAAACTGATTTTGTGGAACCTCTCTGGAGAAATTCTGAGGAATCTAGAATCACAGAGTGGAAAATTCCTGCAGAAACAAGGGGACCTGTCAGTTTTCACAGCCAGAGTCGAGGCCGGTAAGCCGTGCGCTCACAGGCTTCCCTTCATCCAGGGTGGCTTTGAGCCAGGCACTTGGGATTCCAGATGCCCAGAGCTGGCTTGTCCCTCAGGTTGCTGAAAACCAGGGGACCCAAGGTTTTCCTTTCCAAAGAGGAAAACCTGAGTAATATTTTGTGGAAGATGTATCAGGTGCCCTTCTTAAGAATGAGGATATGCTTTCGGAAGACTTTCTAAGGCCCTGCCTTGGGGAATTTAAAATACATTTTCTAATTAATGATGAAATGACTTGACAATTTAAAGAAATGGTCAATAGCAGCCCTGGGCTTTGCCTTGAGTCCCTGGAAATGTGGCCCCGTTGTCGACCACCGTCTCCACAGCCTCCATCCTAGCGACTACCCTGGGGTTCAGGAGCCTCCTGCCTGCTCCTGGACTTTTTCCTCAGAGGTGTGTTTTGTGTCAGGGCATTGCTCGAACTCTCTTGCTGGGCTGCTTTACAATGGACTGCAAACTTGGTTCAAGCTGCGCAGGGTGATGTGTGATTCCCCAGTTCTCTGAGAGGTGGCCATTGATTCTGTCCACAGTGCCTGCCAGCCACAGTCCCAACCCCGGGGCGTTTTGTGGGGACTGTGGGCATTCCTTGGAGACACAGCCCCTCAGGGCTAAGTGGTGTCCCCACGTTATCTGAGGGAGCTTGTTTTGGAAGAAGAACCTGAGGTGGGGTGTGTGTGTGTGTGTGTGTGTGTTTGCGAGGTGTCCTAGCTCTGGCAAATAGGATGCACAGACCCAGGTTTGTGTGCAGCCTGCAGTTGGGACAACAGCTTCCTGGTACTTTTTCATTTTTGGCACAGGGCTGAAAGTGAATGCTGCCCTGACTCCTCCAAGGGCCTGTGGAATATTCCAGATCTCAGAGGAGTGTCTGTGATGTTCCCCCGAGAGTGCAGTGTGGAAAGGACCCTCTCCTCTCAGCCTCCAGCACCCTCTGCTGTGGTCTCTGCTTATGTGTAGAAGAAGCCTCTTGGTGCTGTCCTTGTGGGAGCTCCCCTTCCCTTAGACCCTCACCACACACTTAGCACGTTGAATTTTCATCACCTGTCAGTTTATCTGCCCCCTCTCCCCCGAGTGTGGGTTCAGTGAGGGCAGCGAGTATTTCGTTCTTACAGTTGTCCCCCAGGGCCTGGCACATGGCAAGTGCCTTAGAGAATGCTTTTGGTTGAGTGGCAAATGAGGAGGGTATGGGGTGCCCCGCAAGTCCACTACCCACGAGGGCTCCATGCAGCCTGGTATCTTTCCAGCCCAACAACGCTGCCACTCTGCTGGCAAAAATGGGTTCCAGGCCCAGGGCACCCTGACTCAGGAAACAAAACTGCCTACAGAAGCGGGTTCTGCCCCGGGCCAGAATATGCCCTGCCCGGGAATGGAGAGCGACTCCTCACCCACCTGGTCCCCGCCGTCAATCACCTCAGCATCCTTTTTTTATTCTTGTCGCTGACATAATGATTTATTTTTCCCGTGGTGTCACCTCACCAGCCTGCAGCCTTCAAGAGGGCAGGGTCTGTGCCCAGGACCACACGGGGAGCCTGGCGCCTGGCCTGCAGACGGCCCTGGGCCCTCATGCTCCTGCCCCCTGGTTTTCCCACAGGTGTTTGGCTTCTTCAAGGGCATGTCTTTTCCCCTTGCCAGCATCGCTGTCTATAACTCGGTGGTGTTTGGGGTCTTCAGTAACACGCAGAGGTTCCTCAGCCAGCACCACGCCAGGGAGTCCGAGGCCAGCCGGTCCCGCACCCTGTCGGACCTTCTCCTGGCCAGCATGGTGGCCGGTGTGGTCTCTGTCAGCCTGGGGACGCCCGTGGACCTCATCAAGATCCGGCTGCAGATGCAAACACAGCCATTTCAGGAAGGTAAGAGTAGGGGAGGGGGCCTGGCGTCTGGGCACCTGTGGCCCTTTCCTGGTCCGCCAGATCTGGGATGTGGTTGCTAATCTCCTTTTCGTTGAGCAGAGCATCTGCATTGTCATGTAAGAGTCTGCAGTTAGCATTTTGATCTATAGTAGACACTGTCATTAATTATCAATTCCGTGCCAGGCACCTGCTTAGAGCTCTGGGTACGTTCTCTTAATTTGTCTTCCTAACAGTTCTGTAAGGTAGGTGCTGTTACAGTTTTCGTCTTACAGAGGAGAAAGCTGAGGCTCCCAGAGGTGAAGACACTTAGACAGGGCCACATAGGCACTGAATGACTGGTAGGTGAGGACCAGCGACATCATTAGCAGTGTCCAGCACAGAAGGAAAACGGGGGATTCCTTGTTCAAAATTTAAGAATTTTAGAAGAGCAACCCAGAACATTAAATCAGGCCCGGGGCCCTGAGGGACTCAGAGGTCTCAAAGCCACACCTGTCCCCATCCCCAACACCAGGGAGTGCCGCCACGAGGCCTCACCCCTGCACCACCCGAGGCAGGGGGAAGGGGTCGCTCCTCTTCCCCTCCTCGACGTTCTGGTTTGAGCTTCATTTCTCGGTGTGCTAGACAGCCCTCCTGCCCCATTGCCGAGTCTGTTACTTCCTCCCGCCCGAGAAAGGAATGTGTGTGTCTTTGCTGTGCTTTGGATAAAGGAGGATGGAAAGAATGGGAAGGCACTTGCTGTGCAGAGTAGAAAGTACCAGCTCTCGAGGAAAGATGAGCTCGGGTCTTAGACAGATTTCAGTATCTCCAGGTTTGGTTCTTGGCTCTGATGCCACTCTGTCTCTTCAGGCAAGATTCTGCTCCTGCCCGGGCCACTGTCTCCTTCCTGCATAATGGAAGGGCTGGATTTGTGGTCCTTCCTGACACCCCAGATATCTGATCTGGGCTGACAGCTCTCCTGGATAAGACCCCTCTCCCTGGCAGCCTTCTGAATGGCCTGCATGTGAGCCCTCTGCCACAGAGGCTGGGCTCAGCTGGGCTCCACAGCCAGAGCCCCGATAGTGCACTCGGGAGCATTGTCCAGCCCAGCCGCTGTCCTGCACCCAGTCCCGGTGCCTTGATTCAGTCTGCACATCTTGCCCAGCCCAGGAGGTATCCAGGACAAGACTGCACATCCCCTGAGCATGATGCTGGTATCCTCACTGGGGCCCATGGAGAGCCTGGGACCAGCTGTCCTAAGAAGTTGGGTCATGCCTGGGGGAGGCTCAGTGCCCGTGGGCCCCTGGTCACTGTCGGCATGTGGGGTGATACAGGACCACAGCAGGCTGGCTCATCCTGAGGGTTGCAGCCTACCCTCCTTGGGGCCATTCAGAGAGATACAGGGCAAGGGGAGCCCACCTCCATCTACTTGACCTACTGAGCCATGCCTTGGTACAGTTTAGTTTCAGCAAAGGGTGGCGTCTCACAGAAGCGTTTGAAGCTCGCCGATCTGGTCCTGTCCCAGAGACAAAAGCAAACATGTTGAGGAATGAAGGGCATCGTGAGCAGATTGAGAACCAGGAGGCCTGGCCCCCAGGTTGGCATTGGGCTCTCTCAGAACAGCTTGTGTCAGTCCCAGGGGCAGAGGAAACCTCTCTCCCTAAGTCTTCAAACTCGTTGGGTCCAGATGTTGGCAGAATTACCAGTGATGGGTCTCCTCTGCTCCTGGGGGCAGACCTGCCTCCTTCACAACTTGGGCACTTTGACCCGGGAAGGGGAGGAGGAAGGGGAAGAGGAGGGGTGAGGCGTGCATTTCTCTATTGGGCGAGGGGAGGCACAGCCAGCCTGGACACCAGGGAGCTGTTTCTGGAAAAATGCCTTCCTTAGAAACACCTGGGACACTTGGAAGCAAATGAATTGATTCCATCCTCTGTCCTGTCCTCCTCCACCCCTCCCTTCCCTGCAGAGGGTGCTAGAATGGTAACTAACTCGGCAAGCCAAGGCCTGAACTACAAGGGATGCTGAGGCTAGGCGAGAAGCCTCTGGAGCTTGGAGGAAGGATGGGAGGCAGTCAAGGAATGGGCAGACCCAAGAAGGTTCCCAAAGCTGGGTGTGCAGGGGCAGCCAGTTTTAGGGACGGAAGCAGCCCCCATCAGCAGCTGCTAAAGCTGCCAAGACACTCACCGTATGCCTGATACCGTGTGTGCCCCGTTTACTTAACACCCACCATAGTACTGTGAGGTCCATATGTCCATATGGCTGCTAGCCCTGTTCATTTACCCAACATGCTACGTATGCACCTGCTATGTTCCAGACACAGAGCTAGGAGCTAGGGACGTAGCACTGAACAAGAGTCTACATCCTAATCCTCCTGTCATGTTCTTTCCAGCAGACAGGAATTGGGCCACTCCAAATGTGGTGGTGGGGAGGGAGCAGGACAGGCTGGGGGTCAGGAAGGGCTTTGAGGCAGGTAGTAGGAGGGTAGAGGGATCGGTGCAGATCAGGGCTGTGCACCTGGTCAGGGACGCATTGAGGGTTATCCCTGCCTGCTCGCCAGGGCCGCGAGAGCCCGAGGTGTAGCTCTCCGCGGCTTGAGGTTGTCAGCTCATTGTTGTGCCAGAAGGAAACCTGTTCGCTTTAGTCGATCCCTTGAGGCAGCGACAGAAAGTGAGCATGTGTTTACTCTGTCCTTTTCAGTGTGCCAGGAAACTGGCCTTGTGTGAACCCCGAGAAGGCTCTCAATGGGAAGCCAAGGGAGGTTCCTGCAGGCCAATGTTTCTGAGCCCTGCAAAGTTCCAGGTCATTAGCACCTGGGCCTGGGGACTTAGCAGGCAGTGCAGAGACAAAGGAGACAGGCAGCTTACCTGAGCAAGTGCAGGCAGGGTAGAAACCGAGATTGGAGGGTCTGTCTGAGCCGTGCTCCTCAAGCCTCTGATCTGGGCGAAGCCAGGTCCCAGCAGGGGGGGTGGGGGCAGAGTAACCAGTATTTACTGAGCCCTTCTCCTGCGCCAGGGCCTAGTCTAAGAGCTCTGCAAGTGTTTTATCTTTCTATCAACCCAATTCCTAGAGGTTAACAAAGGGGAGCCTGAGGCCTCAGCAGCTTCTGTAGCTGGCCTTGGGTCACTCTCCTAGTAGGAGGTGGAGCTAGGATGCAGCCCCAGGCATTCTGACTCAGGGCCCACTGATGCTCTGTTGCTGTTTCTGCCCTGGGATTTTGTGGAAGCTGAGAAGACAGCAGCTTTGATAACACCTGGGCCTTTGCACAGACTCATCACAAATCTAGCTTCAAACTTGAGGGAGGAAGCGGGCTGGGAGCATGTCTCCAAAATAACATTGCTCAAGTAATGGGCACAGCTCATGGATTCCCAGGGATGGGTCTGAATTCCGTGGCTTTGGGCCGCCCCTCTCTGCCTGGCCCACCGTTCCTCACCTCCCACCCCAGCTGCTTGCGGGAAGGTCCTTGGTGGCTGGGCAGGATCGCTACTGGGGCTGGAGCAGGGCAGGCAGGCAGTGCTTTCTGCCAGGAATCTCCCCAGGAAGGGAGGAGGATGCGGTTTCCTTCTACTTGTACCTCAGAGACCCTCTAGGCCAGAGATGGAATCTCAAAGACTCACTGGGACCAGGGAGGTAACATAAGCGAGCAGAGGTGCCTGGAAAAAGGTACCCTCTTCCATTTATCTTGACACCCACAGCCTTGCTAACCCATGTTTCATTTTTCCTCTTTTGATCGAAACTGGACACAGAACATCTTTCACTTTCCGTATCACTCTGCTGTTACAAAAGCAGCAACTCCAGCCCGTGTCCACTCTGGTGCAGGGGAGTAATAGGGAGTGGTGGGGACTGTGGCAAGCCCACATCCTGTCCGAGGGGTGCCTTCGACTCTGTTCCAGCTCATGTTTGCCACATGGCCGGGATTGGAAATTGCCAGATAATTTAATTAAGAACAAAAGCAGATGCAAACACCACACCATGAAGCCCAAAGCAGTGCGTGGGCGGGTAGTGTGGGGCTGGTCCTGGCTGCGAACTTGTGGTCTCGGTCCTGGGTCAGGCCTGCTCTGCAGGGTGATTGTGCTGAGATGGGCATTTCCAGGCAGCCTCGGGCCAGGCATGTGGTTTGTGGCCTTACCCCAGAACGGCCTGACCACTTCCTGGGTGGAGGTGATGGGCTGTGAGGGACTGCGCCCGTATACTGTGCAGGGGGCTGGAGGCCTCTGGCATCTTCCTTTGGGACATGTGACAGGGAGAATGGAGGCCGCATTGAGGTAAGAGGTGAGCTTACCTGAAGGCTTGCAAATATAAAGCCACTGAGCTCATCCTGATAATCTATTAATGGTGACCAGTCGTTGAAAATGTACACAAGCTAGAACATTCAATGTGTAGGGAGAAAATGTCCATCCACCCAAATCCAGTCACTGTTAATACATTAATGTGTTTCCTTTTCCTTTTCTAAATACATAGATTAAATATGTTAAGAAGTTGTACTCAGACAGTTTCATGTCCTCTTTTTAACTCAGTTTTATAACACACATCTTCCATAATGTTATGGCATTATGAAAATGGCATTTAAAATTATTGGCAAGAGACGACTAATATTCAAAATAGACGTGCAGTATTCCATCACCGTGCCTGTGTGCGCACACACGTATCGAGAGGGATGATACAGTGTGGCAAAAATTCAGTTTCTGGAGTTAGGCTACCTGCTTCTGGTCCTCCCTCCACCACAACCTGGGAACTCTAGATAATTCCCCTCACGTCACCAAGCCTCCGTTGACTCATCTGCAAACCTGCCGTCGTCACAGTAGCTCCCTGTAACTGGGAGAGAACAGGATGACAGACTGCACGTGACGATCCGAGCATCGTGCCTGGCACCCCGCACACCTAAAATAAATGTTTGCTGTACTACACTTAGGTCGCCACCTTCCTAGTGAGGGACATTGACATTGTTGCTGGTTCGTCCTCTTTTAAACATAGTGATGTGATCGGGAAATCTGTCCATACGGAGTTGCCCTCCTTGTAGGATTATT